GCAGCATATAACTTACGGATATTTCGCGCAACTCATGAGTCTGGACACTGTGAAGTGGCTGTAAAAAGTTATCCCTAACGTGATCTTCCATTGTGTATTTGATTTCGGCAACATATTTGAACGACTCTCCGGATTGGACCAAACACTGACCTGTGTGTGTGTGGGGGGGGGGGNGAAGCACATTATATGAAGAAATTTCCCGGTGGAAAGCCTGATGGTCCATTAGAAGTGATACATTTTTGAAGAAATTCATATTAAAAGATTAAAACACACACAAACGACTTGTCCCGAATTGCCAGTGCCGGCGAAATAAAACTAGCGAGAAGTAAATGGATGCACTAATTCCAGGGTCTGTCTCCAAACTACTACTACTACTACATCCGTATACCAGTGGGGTTGCGGCACTAACAATTGTCTCGTGTTCAAACAGCACTTTCCTGTTCTAACTGCAATGGTAAGTATAATTTCTGTAGGCATAAAGTTGATTACGATACCGAACCACGCCGTGTTCTCGTTCTTCTCTGTACACTCCTACACAGGACAAGCACGTTGTCCACCACGGTCTTTTACGTGCTTCTCAAAGCATCGAAGATACTAACAAACAATGGTACTGCCGATCACATCAAATTGATTCTTACTTTCACTTCTACTTTACGGCGGCTGACTTCCGGTAAAGAATAAACCGGCTTCATGCATATCCCGAATTGCAGCTGCCCACGCTCGATGGTTGGCGGCAAGATCAGCGCAGATTGTGAACCGATTTGACTTCCAATGGCGATTACTGTAGAGAGAGTGCAGACCAAGGTTTTTGCATCCTTGCGTACCGTGTCTAGCTAGGTTTCCAGTTGCTCACCATGTCAACAGCATGAGTTCGGGGAGGGAGGCAGTGCCAAGGTAGCTTTGATCAGGTCATTATCAAACTTACGAAGTACGTGACCGAACCAGTGTAGTCACCGCCGTTGCATTAGCATCCACAGTCGAACAAGATTAAAACTGGTTTCGGACCGTTTCATTAGAGAGCTGATCGCTCCATCGTACTAACAGAATGATTTTAAGGCACCTTTATTTGCAAACAGTATCCATGTTTAGCAGCCGTAAAGCAATACAGGACAGACTGCTGAGGAGAAAACTCGTATTGTTTTCTTTAGGCTGATTTCATTTCTACACCATAGGGAATTCTTCGGCGGTAGAAATGCTTTTCTTGCAGCATCTACGCGCAACTGTATCTCGTCGGTAGCTTGGCCGTTAGGTAGTATGATTGAGCACAGGTATTTGAAGCTTCCAAAGGATATATATATAAGCAGTATATGAGCCATGGGGCAAATTTTTCCTGAAAGAAAACGACCGATTTCGCGGTTCTTGCTGCTCGTCAGGCATGCGCATCCGGTAATCTTTTGTTTTTTCATATACCTGTACCCAGGAAGTGTATTGTCGTCGCAATAACCGCATTTACAACACCGGGTAAATTTGTTTGGACAGTTGTTTCAGAATCATTCCATTGGTGAATCAATACTATGATTCGATTTTTGTAGGTTTATTAGGTGCTACTAACTGCAACAAACGCGACTTAAAGGTCTTCATGAAATATTTTACAATAAGTTAGTAGCATCTAACCAACCTACAAAACATTGAATTATATTGTTGATTCATCAATGGACTGATTCTGAAACAACTGTCCCAAAAGGTTTACCCGCTGTTGCCAATGGGGTTATATATACATATATATAGATGGTAAGCGGCTCTGCCGTCGCCCGGTTCACTATCACGCCTGATCTGTTGAAGCCTTATGTGGTCCGCCACTTCAAGTTTCAGGATCATGGTTGCCGATTTTCCTCACAACACAAACATGAATATACAAAATCACGAACGCTCACGTACTCTCGCTCGCTCTACGCACTCATCACCCTCACCAACATTCGCGGACTGAACCGCAATATTGATTCTGTACACCATTTTCTCCATTCTTCTTCTCCGCTCGCCCTTTTTTTGACCGAAACACAAATCTCCCCCTCCTGTCAGACACCACCCACCATCAATTTCCTAACTATACTCTCCATTCCTCCTTTCTACTCAAAGCTGGTGCCTGTGCCTTTATTCGCCAATCAGTCGCCGCATCCAGGATCCCAAATCTTGACTTTTCCAGTCGTGAATTTCAGCTGTTGTGGCCGAAACTCCGGCTTCCTTCTTTTAATCATTGCTTGTGTTCTTTATCGCCCCCCCCCGCCCCAATGGCGGCGACTCTATCATCTTTGATTTTCTATCTTCGAACATTGAACATTTATTGGCTACCGACCCCAACTGCCATGTTACCATCTTGGGAAATTTTGACGTTCACAATCAGGACTGGTTGACACATTCATCTGCTACTTCTCCTTTGGGGCGCGAAGCCAAACACTTTGTTTTGGTCAACAATCTGGGCCAACTAGTTGACCTCCCCACACGTGTCCCTGATTGAGTTGGCGATCGTGCCCACACCCTCGATCTAATTCTCATTTCGGTCCCTTCTTTCTTCTCAGTTATTGATACCCTCCATCCTCTTGGCTCATCAGATCACTGTATTGCTTCCTAATCCATTAGGTTTTCAAACTCCGAGCCACCACCCACCTCGAGACACACATTCTGGCGCTACAACCCAGCCAACTCGGACGGTTTCCGTGATATCCTAGCTGCTTATCCCTGGAACGATTGTTGTTTCTCTTCGGATGTTTCCAAATCCGTTAACAACTTTACCCATGTTGTCCTTCAAGGTGTGCATCTTTTTATTCCTCACTTTTCCAAACCCGGCAAACCCAAATCCCCTGAGTGGTTTAACTATGCATGTGACCGTGCTGTACGCCTCAAAAGTTCAGCCTTCCGCCACTGACGCCGCTCGCTTACTCCCCTCTCCCACCATCGCTTCATGCAAGCTAGGAACAGACGCTTCACGACCATTCAGAGAGCCAAAGAATCTTCCGTGAACCAAAGAACGCTTCGTTCGCCGCAAAGCCGAAAACTTGATCTCGTCTGCCACCGGTAGCCGACCATTTTGGTCCCTTGCCAAAGCAGTTTCCCGTAATTTCTGCCCTACCAATTCACCCTCCCCCCATCTGCAATTCATCTGGTGATCTTGTATGTCAACCACACGAGCAAACTGAGGTTTTTGCTTCCAAGTTTGCCGCCAATTCCACTTTACCTCACTTTTCTACACCTCCACATGCTTTCTTCTTCACTGCCAACCCTTTTCTACCTCATATCAGCACTAGGAAAATCCGTCAAACATCGCGCTCTCTGAACGCAAACAAACCACCCGGTCCGGACGGTATCCCACCCATCGTCCTCAAAATGTGTTCTCCCGAGGTGGCTCCTGTTTTAAGTCGTCTTTCTGTCTTTCCCTCCAACTTTCTTCCTTTCCAACCCCCTGGAAGCATGTCGTGATTTCTCCCATTCCCGAACGCGGCGATCTTTCTAACCCCAACAACTATCAACCCATTTCCCTCACATCTGTTCTTTCGGAAGTATTAGAAACTATCATTTCTGACCAGCTACGCACGTTCCTTGAGCGCGAAGGACTACTGAGCGACCGCCAGTGTGGCTTTCGACCGCGTTCCATCGGTGACCTTCTGGCTCTTGTCTCACAATTCTGGTCAGCTCCACTCGATAACCACGGTGAAACACACTTGGTCTCGCTTGACATCTCAAAGGGCTTCGACCGAGTTTGGCAAGGTCTACTGACGAAACTATCCATGTTCGGGTTCCCTCCAGCGCTCGTAGCGTGGATATCAAGTTTCCTCAGTAAGCGAACCATCTCCGTCCGAGTTGATGGGGTTCTATCTCAGCCAGTCCCTGTGAACGCTGGTGTTCCCCAAGGTTCAGTACTTGCGTCCACTCTTCCTCCTACTTTTCCGAACTGCCAACCCAATCCATTCTTTGGCCGATGACGCCACCCTCCACTGCTCTCTCTCCTACCGCACTGCTCGCCATGCCCAAACAAAATTCAGTGGTGACCGTAATGCAGTAAATGTATCACTGGACTTCGATCTCGAACATATCTCCTCCTAGGGCATTGCAAACCACGTTTCGTTCAATGGTTCTAAAACTTCTCTTCTTTCAATTTCTTTAAAACATCATTCGTTCTCTCCCCCCCCCCTACCCATTCATCTTTTGATTCCACCCAACTGCGTTCCACAGACTCTGTTTCCCCTTTTAGATTGCGTATAACTTCTTCTTTATGCTGGTCCCCTTTCATAGCTAAGCGCAAGGTTAAATTTCTATTTCGCTCCTGACGTTTTTTCACCCCAGTTCATCTTCTATTGTACAAAGCTCAAATCCGTTCTGCTCTTGAATACTGTAGTCAGGTGTGGGGTGGGGCTTCGTCCCCTTCCCTTTCCCTTCGTGATCGTGTTCAACGAAAGGCCATCCGGCTAATCGATGATCCTTCCTAACATCCGGTCTACAGTCGCTAGCCCATCGTCGGGTAGTTGCTCCATTGTCCCTCTTCTACCGCTACTACTTCGGGTTTTGTTCTTCGCAACTTGCCGCGGCAGTTCCTCTTCCTGCAACTTTTTTCCGGCCATCCCGTACACAGGCATCTAGTCATCCGTGTAAGGTCTCTGTTCCCAGATGTCGTACCTCTCTATTCCAATCTTCTTTTTCCCCCGAAATGCCAAACTGTGGAACACCCTCCCACTCGCTGTTTTTCCCTCAACTTACAATCCTACACTTTTTAAACGCAGAATCAATAAACTGGATCTTACGTGAATGTTCCCCTACTCTCCCCTTTACAGTATGCTACTTGTCCATAGGGACTTCCCCGTTTACTGTAATTCACATTGTGTAATATATATATATATAGAGAGAGAGAGAGATTANTAGATAGATAGATAGATAGATAGATAGATAGATAGATAGATAGATAGATAGATATAACCTCAATGACAACACTGGGTAAATTGTTTTGGACAGTTGTTTTAGAATCAGTCCATTGATGAATCAATACTATGATATATAATATATAATAATATAATATATATATATAATTTAATATAATAATATAATATGTATTTTTAATCACCGGCTTGTGCACAAGCATGGTGTGAACGTTTAGTAGTAAAGCATCCTCGGGGTGAATTGGAAATGTCTCAAACATTTTGGTTTTTGATGTGTTCACCCCTAGGCTGATCTCGACGACCTTTCGACTAATGTGGTCAACGATTACTATTTTCTGATCAAACACGTCAATATCATTAGTAAATTCTAGATCGGTGAGTGAGAGGTTTAGAGATCTAAACTCCTTGTTATTCTTCTATCAAACGATCCATTGTTCGGTCAACGGCAAAAGTGAACAGCATTGGGAACAATGGGCACCCGTCTCGTACTTCAGATTCTAGGTCGAACGACCATGACCCCTCGCCGTAGATGTGAATTCGGACACTAGTGATAAGGTCAACAAGTTTAACTAGGAAACCATCAGATCTACGTTCCAGAGGGATTCACGATCAACGGAATCGCGTGTCGCAACAAAATCGACGAAGCAGACTGCTGTGGGTCGTTGAAAATTGTGGCGATGTTCTGAAGTGAAGTGAACTGAAGTGAATATCCGGCCAACACAACCTACACCGGAGTGGAATCCTTTTTGATTAGGGCGAGTGCCCGCGTGTTTTGTTTCAGCAAAAGTTGCGGAAAAACCTTGATCACTGCATCAAGTAAACTGATGCCCCTGTAGTTTTCACACAACGATTTGGCCTCCTTTGGAGGGAAGGGTAGCAAAATGGATATCAAGTTGAGTCACATCTGATATCTCTCCAAAACACAGGAGAAATAGTAAACAGTCAGACTCTGGCAATTTCCACAGATCTTCCCACTGCCCGGGCTTTGGTCAATCAACGGCTTCGGTTGTAAATTCACCATCAAAATTCATGCATTTTACAACATTCTATCCATTTGCAAAACATGAGACTTTCTCTTTGTTACAAAGATTCTTATAACGTGACTTGTTCGACATGGTCTGTACACAGACGCCTGCGAAATATAGTAACGATAATAATACTGAATTGATATACTGAGTGTGTTGATCGCTTTTGGGAACTTTCGGATGTTAGGCATGCATTCTTTTAATATGATGATCGTCATTATGTGCCTGAAAAGTTGTATCACAACCATGACATTGGATTATATAAAACAAAACAAAAGGCAATCACACGAGATCCATGGATGGAACGGATCTCACTGAAAAACTTGGGCGTCGTGCTCATGATTATTGAGGAAATTAGCTTGTCTTAGCCTCGACGAATGAAAACAAACGCCATTGTGTTTTGGTTTTCATTCGTCGTGGCATAAGACAAGCTAATTTCTTCAAAACAAAGGGCAGTTTTGGAATCAATTGATTGGTCGTTGAACCTAGGACAGCTATTTATTACTGACAGTCTATAAAGATCAGATAACATCGTACGTCTTAATTTTTCGAATTCCCTTACTTTGCTAAACTATACACTGTCAATTTCATCTATGCCTAAGCCGATCAGACCACTTTATATTATTCCACAGCGATTAACCTGTGCGTCCTTTATCATCATCACCGCATATGATCGAAAGCGAGTGTGCTTCTTCAGTTAATTCACACGATAGTGATATCACTGCTTGTGAACCTGAAAATCGAATCATTTAGTGTTGCAAAAACGTTCTCCATAACGACATCCAACAAAAGTAATCCTGTACTTCAAGTCAGTGTAACGCTTGGCAATCGCGCCAGTAATATTTTATCTTGAATGCATGTACCTCACTGAACCTTTTCGGCTCACGGTGTTTTGTTTGCTTTGCCTTGAAGGTTTAACCTCAACCCCGACCCACGGAAGACCTGTCTGCCAGTATTTCCTTGCCAATCCGTGTCCCGCATCTCTACCACCGTCATTCGTCACCCGCAAAGCCTCGTATAGTTTCCCGCTGTGAGAATACGAGCCGAGGGACATCCTGTCGCGCATATCCGTTCACTCCACTGCGCTGCAAGGGCCGGAGTACGTTTGTATTACATAAACAGTTCGAATCCTTGCAGTAGTCCGTCCGCGAGCGGATCATGGACGCGCTTCCTTGAATTACACAGTGCACTCAAATATATGGAATATCAAAATAAAAAACTTTTTGAATAATTACAATAAAACCCCCAAATCTAGTTCTACATAGCCTCCAGTCAACCTATTCCATCATGTTCAGATAGCTATTTTTGCGCAAGATATTTTACTCAGAGGGGGAGAGAGAGAAATAGAGAGAGACAGAGAACAGAAAATTAATGGCGGCGTGAAATAAACTCACTGATGCGACTATAGCACTCACCATAAGAAGAATCTGGACCCAATTCTCGACCATATTTTTGCATGCATTCACCCAGTTGCGCTTCGGGTTGCGGATACGTGGTACTCTTGGATTTCCCCTGAAGTTTGTTCAAGGTATTCATAGTCACCAATCTGGCCCGATAGGCTGGATTGGGCTGCAGCACCTCTTGTGTGAGTGCCAGCACTTCATCGATCAGTTTTGCAATTATGTCTACTTTCTGCAATAATAGATATGTGATTGTAGGACAGAATAAAGCTTACTTTTTCCGTTTCCAAGTAGTTCTCATCGAGTTTGGTCCCTTCGGCACCACCAATTTTTTCACTGACAAACTTTTAGGAAAATAGAAAGAAGTTCTGTTAGAGTCTCAACAAAGTACTATCATATTTTCTGAAATCAATGAATCTATAAGAAAATCATCTCTCTCTAATGACGCGCATTGTGATCAACCTTTCTATTCTCTATGAGCATCCAGTTGGAAGAGAGATAACTGAATGCTTCTGGATAGGAAGACCTATTTCAAAGAGTCCTGGGGCACACTGTACATATGCGCCCCAGTATTCCGTACCGATGGATATTTGCGATATCTGAGCTCAGTTGGAAGAAGAGCAGCAATAGTCAATCTATGGCTTGTGCAAAGAAATGCATAAGCTAGCGATGACATCAACATTGGTTTTTTCCTTTCGACTACCCAGTAGGAAAAGGGGTACAAAGATAATAACTCGAGAGAGAGCAGAGCTCTATGCTACGGAGCGCGTCCCCAGATTGCACATAGGGAAAAGACCATCATCTCGCGAGGTGTATTGGGCACCTTGGACGTCTGACCCCGTCCGAAGGGCGTATGATCCGATGAACTGGACACCGGCTCCCAATGGACTGTGGTTTTCGCACACCGCCCCGATGCCTTGCTGGTCATGCTTTGGCTACCGAAGGATCCGGTTGTGGATTCCTCAGAAAATTCACCTGCCTTGCTTTGGCAAACTGGCAGTACTCAGCCCACAAGCCAATCATGGAACATTTTTCTTTTTATAAAGATTATTGTGCCATGGTTTGTTTGGCACACAGTCTCTCCTCAGACAAGTGTGAAATATATATATATATATCATCTCGCGACTAACTGCGAATAAGGTGAGCTTAGCCCCGCGAAAAAGCAATCACAAACGATCAGCGGCAGTGCTCATGAATGTGGTCTCCTGGTAACAGTTCTCCAAACAATACATCACAAATATCTGCGAACAGCGCCGTGACGTGACGAATGTGCCCCCCTCCCACTAAATATGGCTACTGCACCCTAGTTGAGATCCACCAACTAGGGCTTTATGTGATTAGCTACTCTAAGTCTCGGTGCTTAGGTCCCCGGTTTCCATCACAGAATAACAGGTCTACGCGACTATGGGGTTCACCCCGTCTGCTGTTCATCAAACACACACAAATTTGTGCAATAAAGAAAGGCGATTTTTTTTATTACAAACTTCTAGTGCAATGAACAGTGATGGAAACCGGTGATCTAAGGCTCGAGACTTGGAGTAGCGAACCACATAAGACCATGATAGGTTAGGCATGGTATTGAACCGGATGACAGTGAAGCTGTCTGCCCCCAAAACAGGCCACCGGCGCACCTGGAACATCGCTGCTGCCTTGAAGTCCACGCTTGACTGCGCAAAGGTTTTCTTAATTGCACAATGTGAATTACAGTAAACGGGGAAGTCCCTATGGACAAGTAGCATACTGTAAAGGGGAGAGTAGGGGAACATTCACGTAAGATCCAGTTTATTGATTCTGCGTTTAAAAAGTGTAGGATTGTAAGTTGAGGGAAAAACAGCGAGTGGGAGGGTGTTCCACAGTTTGGCATTTCGGGGGAAAAAGAAGATTGGAATAGAGAGGTACGACATCTGGGAACAGAGACCTTACACGGATGACTAGATGCCTGTGTACGGGATGGCCGGAAAAAAGTTGCAGGAAGAGGAACTGCCGCGGCAAGTTGCGAAGAACAAAACCCGAAGTAGTAGCGGTAGAAGAGGGACAATGGAGCAACTACCCGACGATGGGCTAGCGACTGTAGACCGGATGTTAGGAAGGATCATCGATTAGCCGGATGGCCTTTCGTTGAACACGATCACGAAGGGAAAGGGAAGGGGANGTAAGATCCAGTTTATTGATTCTGCGTTTAAAAAGTGTAGGATTGTAAGTTGAGGGAAAAACAGCGAGTGGGAGGGTGTTCCACAGTTTGGCATTTCGGGGGAAAAAGAAGATTGGAATAGAGAGGTACGACATCTGGGAACAGAGACCTTACACGGATGACTAGATGCCTGTGTACGGGATGGCCGGAAAAAAGTTGCAGGAAGAGGAACTGCCGCGGCAAGTTGCGAAGAACAAAACCCGAAGTAGTAGCGGTAGAAGAGGGACAATGGAGCAACTACCCGACGATGGGCTAGCGACTGTAGACCGGATGTTAGGAAGGATCATCGATTAGCCGGATGGCCTTTCGTTGAACACGATCACGAAGGGAAAGGGAAGGGGACGAAGCCCCACCCCACACCTGACTACAGTATTCAAGAGCAGAACGGATTTGAGCTTTGTACAATAGAAGATGAACTGGGGTGAAAAAACGTCAGGAGCGCGTAGCACGAGAAAAAAGCTTAGCTATCAAAGGTGACCAGTTTGAGTTCGGGGCTGCGGCTTTCGGTCTTGCTAGCGTCGGTGTGATTATCAGTAAGGTAGCTGAAGCCACGCCCTTAGGCTGGATTCCAGCTAGCGGTAGGTTGCGCGCAGTGAGACTCAGAGGTTCGTGTAAAGTTATGTCGGTATGCGCCCCAATGGAATGCAGCCCAGGTGCAGTCAAAGATGAATTCTACCAAAAACTGCACGACCACTTGCGTAAAGCTACCGGGGCTGGCATCATCAATTTAGCAGATATGACTGCTAAAGTAGGTCGGTTGACTTCGAGTGGGGCGCATCTGAGATCCCTTCGGACTAGATTCACGTCGCTCAGAAACAGGGAACGGCTGTTGCTTTCTATTCCTCACCAGTACGAACTTTGGGCCAGCTAACTGCCGGTACGCCGTTCGGCGTTCATCCTCCTCGAGCCAGAGTCGAACGGGGATTGACCATATCGCTAGAAGCGACAAATGGTGTACGTATATAACACTGTCCATCGTACTGCAGCACGCCCTCAAATCCGATCACGCATTAGTTTGCGCCAAGCTATGCGTGTGCTTCGGTGAGCGTTCCAAATGCATGACGACGGTATGTATGGCCTAGCTCAAAACCTTAACACAGCGTTAAGATTTGATGCATACAACCGTAACCTGGTCGAATTCCTACCCGTTGTTAGCGGATATTTCTCTCCCTAGATGGTGTCAGAAGTTGAAGTATGACGGAGGATAATAACTTGGTGACGACTGCGATCCAACTTATTCCATGGTGGTTCACGCAGTTGTTGCGCGATCTCTTAAAAATTGGAACCATCAGTGATTCGTTCCAGGATAATGGAGTACGCTTTTGCGACCACAGATTACGCAATAAATCAGTAATGCAATCTACAAGGCCATCGTGTCCCCACCCACCCCATCCTGCAAACAGTGGAAGCCCGTCGGATAGCGCTGCGTTTCCTTTTTTCAGGATTTGAATGCAAGGTCGTACTTCTGCTTCAGTAGGAGGTTCACATGACACGGATCCTTAAATACAACAGACGAGTCAGCCTGGTTGGCGCCGTTCGTTAGCACTGTTCGTTGAATTACTTTGCCGACCGGTCAAGCCGTCGTTCCCTATTGTGAATAGCTTGTCCACTTTTTTCACTAACTGTGGTTCGTCAACCTTTCGCGTTGTATATCAGTTGTAACAGTCTTTATTCCCTGATGCGGCCCTTCACTAGCTATCGTTGCCCACCAGTTCTCACGGTCTTTCTTGAGGCTCTTCGTGGGCTGGCGTTTCAGACATGCCCACCCCTGTGTTTATCCCGGGAGGGATTTGCCGCTTTTCCTCCTGATTCATCAGATATTTGATGCCTCGTACCTTAGCTCAGTCAAAGCAGGGGAGAAAAACTGGGTCAGATAAACGATGATCTACCAACCGAGTTCGGTGGATTCTTCTGCGACCAGTTAGTCGGAGTGTCAACTGCATCAAAACTAATGCGTGATCAGATTCAACGCAAGTGGTCTAATAGGACCTATAATTTTGCACTGAGATACATCAAACGGTAGCTCACTACTATGTGGTCGATTTGAGTTAGCCTGCTTGTTGAATTGGAGCGCCACGTTGCCGTCCGCTGAGACCTGTCTGAAGTTGGTATTGGATAGGAACATATGGTGATCTGTGCATAACTGAGGTCGATCGTCGCTATCTGTTAGTTGGCAAGCAGAACACAGCAACCTAGGCAAACTTCCGATGCGCTCAGTTTTCCAACATGCGCGTTAAAATCACTTGCGAGAACAACTATATCGGAGTTTCACCTTAACCGAATGAGTTGAGTGAGTTTCTCATAGAACTCTTCTTTTTGTGCGTCAGAACTGCAGTTGGTGGGTGCATACGCTGAAATGATGAACAAACACCTTTTGGTGTTGTTTTCCTTCCGGACACTGATAGACCCTTGGAGCTGCATCGCATATAAACGACTGCAGGTGGGGATCCAATCAACTAGATACTGTACTACTGAGTACAATACCCGCGCCGCACTTGAATACTTAAAGTGCTTCGTCATCAACTGATGTGCGCAAAGCCTCTGGGTGGATGCCTCGGGTTGTGACTGGTCACCATTTCCTTACACCTCGTAAATTGCCCTTATGTGACTAAGCGTCTCAAATAGCCTCTGCTGAGGAAGCCCTACTCACTGCCTTCCCGTGTCGGAGGTGTTTCCCACCAAAGTGAGAAGACAAAAAGCCAATATCCGGGGCTATAGCCGGGCTGGTGAACCATTGGCAGTTCGCTTAGGGGAGTTGGTTAAAAACCTTGATTTCAAACAACCAAGAAGAGGCGTACGAACCACGTACACCTTCTTGGTTGTGGCAGTGGTCAACAGTTTGTTTCATAATTGGTCCCCAATTATCACTTGATCCGATGTTGAATAATTTAATTACTTTCACTCTTTTTCCTTGTAAATCTTTCTCTGTTACTAGTCATAGTTATTGTGTTCTAATGGCACACTGAAAGGTTGGGGTGTCTGAGCTGTAGCCTACTTATCACTCACTTCGCTGGATAAAATGGTTACCGCGGCCCTGATTATTCTACACGACAACTGATGCAGTTTACAATTATTTTCATTTCGTCTATGCATTAGGGTTTGATAGAGGGGTACTGCCAGGGTATCCAACCACTAAGCAGGGGAACGATTAGGGTTCTCGTCCAAAACCTTTGGTTCTAACAAGAACCTGATTGCAAGGCGAAGTAGGTGACCCGTTTACTTGATCGATTACTCCTCTACCATTTTACCGACTCAGATGCTAACTCGAGTCAAACCCCAACCTGGAACACCAGGAGACTAAACCTTATCTAACCTCTACTCTCTCATCTTCCGGGCACGATAAAATCGCCTGGTTTAATAAAAGCCATCCTGTGTAACTCAGTGGGTTACAGAAGTACACAAGCCAGTACATCACGCCACGGTGCGGTCTCGTCGCAGAAAACTGGTGTCAGATAGTCAGCACGGGTTGGAGAGAGACCCTGCCCTACGAACCTGCAAATGGTTTTCAATTAAATCATAGAAAGGTTGGATAGAGAGGAGAAAGTTCAACTGTGCCTGGATTTCCAAAATGGGTTCGACTTTGTGGACCACAGGCTAATGCTGCTGAAGTTTCACGTCGTCAAAATAGATTCGAAATCGCTTACATGGACGGAAGACTCTGAGGGAGAGGACGTTACATGTATGTTTTCAGTTTGTACAACCAATAACCATCCACTATCGTGCGCCGGTTTTGCTTGCTGTCTTTTGGTTGCCCATTTGGAGGAAGAATAGGAGAAAAAAGGAAGGTTGAAAGTGGAATCGGAGAGAAAATCGGGAATTTCAGTGGAATAATGTTGCAAAGTAATTGAGAAGATGCACGAACGCCAATGTTTGCGACACCTGGCCATATCCCTTATTGTCTCTAACCATCGGGTATGATCATCCCGAGGTCCCCAACCAGGGAGCCTAACGAGACCTATGTGACCCAGACTCCTGGTTACGGTTTTCATACCCTCGTTCCAGGTCTTCGCTTGACCACCCTTGACTTTATTCCACCCACTACCTGCCTCGGCGAACATCGCTCGCCGTGGCAACCTAGTTGGTGACATGCGTAACACATGCCCCAAACAACGCAATCTATAGGGGTCGATCACTTGTTCCAGTTGGCGACCGCAGTTGCGCCTAACCTCAGTATCACTCGTCCGGCTGTCCCACAAGATTCGTGCAATGCTGCGTAGACAGCAGTGTTCAAACATTGACAGTCTATCTTCATTGCGTTTCCTTAATGGCCAAGTTTCTGCACCGTATGGCAGAACTGGCCGAACTGCTGCGGTAAACATTTGACTCGCGGAATGTAAAGCCAATAAAGCACTATTCCAACTACTGAGGACTGTAATGTCGCGAGGACCAGATGTGTTGTTGACCCTCTACAAGGTGTAAGTGAGACCACGCTTGGAATGTTGCATCGAAGCATGGTCCACATACTTAGAACGCGACAGAAATATCCTAGAGGAGGTATAAAGCAGGTTCACGAGATGCTTTCCTTAGTTTCGGGAACAAGACTATCAAACTCGGCTTCATATTCTGAAAATGTTCTTCACGAAAAAAGGAAACCTTAGGGGTGGATTGCCCGAAGCTTTCAAGATTACAAAGGGCGTAACAGATACGGGTACTTCGTTTTTCACTGTCAGTGAAGACTTAGCATTAGGCGGGCACTCGTAAACATTGGTAAGGGCGATTCAGGCAGGAAGTTTGCGTGCAGTTGATCGCAGATCACATGATGAACAGCTGGAACCAACTCCCGGAACCAATGATCACTGCAAAGAATGTGATCCGCTTCAAGCACAAGATGCTGACTGCTGGCTATCAGTGTTCTCGGATTTGGAGTAATCAGTGCAAAGTAAACCACGGTCCGATTTCAGAGCTCTACATCAGAGAAAACCTTTTATCCCATAGGTATTATTTTCTTTACATTCTTATACTAATCAGCTTTCATTTGCATCACTTATAAAGTTTAACTCTTAAATCCGCATAGTCTCGAATTATCTCGCGTCTGGTTTCAATTTTTGCATGGAAATCGGTACAGACAATGACCTTAGTTTAACCGAAGCCCGCAGATAATACCGATTGAACGCTTTATCTCTTTTCCATCTGTCTGACCGCCATTCACGAACACGAAGAGAACGAAGTCTCCCACAGACGCACACGGATTGTATCGAGCTCACTAGCGCAAGAAATTGGATGTATTACAAACAGCCTGATGTGATGATTTCATATGTGAATTATTACACCGCAGTAATACAGCACTGTTTATCGACTTCCGTGATAGCCCTATAGAGCTGTTAAATTATTAACCACCTTGAAAATAACAAACGAAAGTTTACTTGGGGGCGACTGCCGTTCACAATCGCGTGGGGAACTATATGAATGCAACCACCTCAAAACTACAACCATCTCCATCTTCCTCGACGTTTGACTTAGTCTGCACCTAACGTATGCGGTATGCGGTTCGACATTCCAAGTTCCGGGTCATGTAGTTCCCGTTAGGCTCCCTGGGATGATCATACCCGATGGTTAGAGACAATAAGGGATATGGCCAGGTGTCGCAAACATTGGCGTTCGTGCATCTTCTCAATTACTTTGCAACATTATTCCACTGAAATTCCCGATTTTCTCTCCGATTCCACTTTCAACCTTCCTTTTTTCTCCTATTCCTCCTCCACATGGACAGCCAAAAGACAGCAACGATAAACAGCGCACAGAATTGCATGGTCAACGGTTATTCTTAATGAAACTGGGCATAAACCTCGGGACTGAAGGTATTAAACCAGATAAACCAGTTTAACTGAAGCCACATAAAAAATTCACACTGATTATCGAAAAAAATTGAAATTCAATTTTTGGTCTTTAGACTGTCGAGCACGTACAGGACTGACAAAAATAAAAAAGCTCTATGCATTGAGTTTAGTTAATTTGGGGATATTGTGTGCAAAGGACTGATAAACCGAAAAATATAGAAACTCACTTGGTTAGCCTTATTAATCTGCTTTTTCAATCCAGCAAGTGACATGGTCTGATGAAAATCAGGACGGGATCACACCGGCGGCGGGATCTCAATAATCATGTACCGCTAAAAGTAAATCACGCGCCAGGTCCAGTTCAGTTCAGTTCAGCTCAGTTCAGTTCAGTTTGCACAGGACAGTAGTGGCCGAGACCAATCGTGCGTCC